GTGTCACTCGGTCCCCACCCCCTCTTTACGCCAGAATCCTCCCATCACAAGATTTCGAGGCAACCCTAGGCTTTGTTAGTGAAATGCTTCTCGTACATTACATTTGTTTCAGATTACCAGCAAAGAAGTGTATTTCAAAGTCTAACAATACATTTTGACATGAATTTGTCTTTAAAAGGTTCTGATGCCTCCTTGATTGAACTTCTAGGTACTGAGTTCTGCATTTTCTATAATCTAATTGAATGGTTGTGTGACACAATTCTGGAGCTCATGATCTCCAACCTGTGTATAATAAATCATTTAGAGTAGTGTAGAGGGCACCAACTGGTCATCTCCATTCATCAGGCAGTGCAGTAAGAGCAATGTCCCTGGGCCTTTGTTACTGTCTCCTGTTCATTTATATCTGATGATGACAGGGAAAGTCACAAGTGCTTCACTCAAGTCTGAAGCTCGCAGCGCACATTTCCTGAGCAGTTTTAGGTTGTGACATTCATTAACCCTTTCTTGTCAGGCTGGCAGTAATGCAGTCCTTTTGCTGCCTTTTTTTTAATCTCCCCTCTCAGTACTTAGATTTCCAGTCTGCAGTGCTATAGCAGACACCCAAGGCCACAAGATGGTTGAACTGGCTATGTTCTCTAAATGAGAACCAACCCTGCTGGAAGATGCATTGATTCCTCCTCCCTGAATTGCAAACACTGGCTGTTGCCAGGTTTTAGGTGTCGCTGGAAGTTTCAGGTTGTAATGCACACAAACCAGAAATGATTGTTGATGGCTAATTCCTGTGAAGATGGCATGAAAAAGGCACGTCTCATTAACACTTGGAGTGTGCTTGTGGTTTCCTAGTGAGCCTATAGTGGATTGCACCAAGGCTTCTTGTAGGCAACACAAACCTTTTTATTTTTGTGCACAGCTTTCCATCTAGCATCATCCTGATTTTGTTTGCAGGTTTAGCAGGCATTCTTAACATATGGTCCACTTTAAAATATTTTATCATGTAAGCCGTGCATTTTACAATAATGCAGAGTATAGTGGAGGCATTTAGCATTAATATTGCTGATGTTTTGCATTGAAAGATCTTTTCTGTCTTCACTTTTTTAAACGGTCACATCACTGATTCTACCCCTGCAAGCTATTGATGTCATTGCAGAACATAGTCCAGCTTTGGCTATTGGTAAGAGCAGCTTTCAGTCAGCCACTGCAATGGCCTTTAACTGAAGCACATTGGCGTAGGCGTACATAACTGCAGTGATCAGGCATGCTCTACATTGGTTTAGCTGCCTGTAGTTCACACAGGAAGGTAGCAATGGTGTTGCAGCATGGGAGTCTTAGGGTGAGCGTTGTCACCCTATTAAGGGAAGCCCCGTAAGCAGTACAAAACTGGCAGTATCAATGGTAATTTTTACCCCTGCCACCGCCGCTGCATAGCTGGACTTCTTGTGTCAGGAAGATACCCCAGCATGTATATCCACACAGGTGGGGCACAGTATGGGAGGTGAGTTGTGGATCCGCCCTGTTCTAATTACATTATGCCACATTCATGTCAGGAAGTCTGCATAGGTATCAATTCCTTCATTTACATCGATAAAGGTTTGTTGTCAGATTGCTGGCGTTTTACTGCCTCCGAGGTTTCTGCACACAAATGTACATAAGAACTTTTTGACTTTTTATTCCCCAGCATAACCCCAGCTCAAGTCATGGCAATTTCCCTTGACATGGATGGGCTCAATTTTCACCACCACAACGCATGGGTGTTGCACTGTTGTGAGGTGAAAAAAATGACCACGTATGCATTGTACGTTATGCAATGTGGTACAACCACCACACACAACGCTGTTCCTGTAGAACGTAGTGAAATGCTATTTGTGACATTGCAATAAAGGAAAAAAAAGGTGTGCACTGTGCTGGACTGTGCAATGTAGTGTAGCGGCTCCTGTGAATGAGACCTTAGGAGGCAGGTTGATTGAAAAAAAAATGTCATGAAAAAAATGTTTGTAGGCTGCATTTTGTAAGGTTAGGGGGTTTCTCAAACCATATAAAGAGGCCATCTACATAAATGGTGGGGGTCTTCAGTACCATCTGTCTTCCACATCTCTTTAACAATTCACACCTTTTTAGCGTTGTAAATCCAGGAATTAAAACATGTGCAGACTTACTGACACTGATATGGGATTCTGTAAATTATAACAGGGTAGTTCCACAACTTTTTCACTCCTTCTATCATGTTCTTGGACAATTAACATCTACATGTTCCATGGTGATTGGACTAAGGTGTCTCCTACCTGTGTAGATATAAGGTTGGGGGATCTTTCTGACACTTATTGAAACTGAAGCAGTGTCCTAGAGAAACTATTCAAGATCTTCAGTGTTACAGAACAAGTCCAAGTGAATGTGAAAAACAACTACAAGCTAGTTTAGGGTTTGCACACACTTTTTTATATATACGATTTTTAGCTTAGTATCTCTGCTTGTCAGGGTTGCTATTGGGCACGTGATCTATTTTCCTTGTGTACAGCCTATTATGTTTGCCTATGCGATAGCTGACTACAGACTTCAGATGGCGGTTGGCCGCTCATGCAATATGTGATATTTCTGCAATCATGCTCCCTTAACAGACAGGGTCAAGCACTTAGGTGTTGGCTTGTCTTGGGGAAGGAGGAAGAGTATTTATGGTCTAAGAAGGTCCAAGGTTTGCCAGGTGACATGAGCCAGGGTTGTGGAGGGCCTACATAAATAACATGGTGGCCAGATCCAACCATAACAAGTTCTATCAGACAAATGTTGTTTTAAATGTTGGGTACAGATTTTATTTACTGGTTTCATCTTTTTTGCACTGCCTCTGAGGTCTCCCCATACAAAGGTTTATGGAGGCCAGGGCTCCAGAGGAGGCAAGTTGATTAGAACAACAAAGAAAAAGGATTCTTCCCGGGTTATGTTGTTGTAAGGTCAAAGTAACGGGTTGCTCAAATCATATGGGGGGGGGGGGGTTTGATATATTTATGAAACAAAATGTGAAATCCCTTTTGACTACATAGGTTGTTTTCTGGTTTGATCTTTCCCTCCCTGCCTTTGAGGCTCCCACACAATGGTTCATGAGAAGCCGGAGCTGTTGATGAAATCACAGCTCTTCCTTCAACTTGGCTATGGGCTTTGCCCCTCTAGAGTGAAGAGATGGGAAGAAGTGTTTGCTTTAACCATTTCTTCATTCCTAATGGTATCCCTTACCCATTGATTTTCTTTAAAATCTCCTACGTGGATGAAGCTGAACTCCAGCCTTACCTTCAGGCTTGCACAGTTGTACAGGTCCTTCTTCTGTACTGAAAAGCTGCAGAAAATCAGATAGAGCCCACCTTATTTCCTGGCTGGAGGACATCCAGTATCATCGAATGGGGTTATTCACTAAAGGGTGAAGAGATTGGAGAAGGCAGGAAAAGTGAACCATCTAGGACAACATAGCTGAACTGGAAAGTGAGCAGAATTTTTCCTGTTCAGCTATGTTGTCCTAGATTGCTCACTTCTCCGGCCTTCTCCAAACTCTTCACCCTTTTGTGAATAACCCTGTTAGTATTTTCCCTTTAGCTAGATGGTCCCTGGCCTGCCCCTTCATTCATTGGATTTCTTTTTTTTTTTTGTCATGGAGGCTCGGTATCATATGTGTGTTTACCTAAGGCAAATGCAGTCCTCGTAGGATGACTCACTTTTCAGACTGACCTCTACCCATCAAGGCTATTTGATATTTGCACAACTCTTCCTAGGAGTCAGCCCATAGGGATTTGCTTTATAACAAAAGGTTTGTGATATTACTGATATCATGTAATGACTCTTCATTCTGTTAATTGCACAGCCCTGTACCTTGTTCATGTTGGTTATTTTCTCCTACCTATGTTTGTTTTACAGGCCTCCACAAACAATGAAAGCTCCAACCACAGCTTTGGGAGCCTGGGTTCTTTAAGCGACAAAGAGTCAGAGGTATGTTTACAGGGATTGTAGATCCTCTCAACGTCTGTTTTTCCTTATCTGACAAATATTTATTATTGTAATTTTAACCTTCTCCCTGTACTCTGAGACAAAAATACCTGTCGGTTCATGTAACAGATGTTTTTTATAGATTACAATCACATTACACAACTGTCTGTAATGGCTGCCGTTGATGCATCCGAGTACAGAACAAGTGGACAAGTAAAAGAGCCGGTTTGTCTATTTGTCATTGGTTGTCAATATAAAGAACCATGTTTTGTCACTTTAGAGCTGTCATTATGAGTGGATTTTAAAGGGCAATGTTAATGTATGGAAGTATGTAAAAAGAACATTTGCAAATATGAATGGGATTTCCAGCATTACAGAGAGGACTCTGTATCTCTTTTTCTATTTTCAAAGGGAAAAATCAGGGGTCTATTTTTAAACCCCCCCCCCTAATATTTCCCCAAAGCCCCTAAAAGTAAAAAATAAAAATATTTAATAAATAAAAATAAAATTAGAAACTTTATAAAAAATACATTTTTCATCTCGGTGCACCTCTAATAACAAATGTGTCCACGTCTGTAGTTCCCTTTTCTAAGAGAAAGGTCACTGACATAGGATGTCAAAGTTAAAAATTTAGTTTCTCAAAAATGCTGTGCAAATGGCTATAGGATTCCCCATTCCAGACATCCTTTCACACATGCTCTCATTTTAATCTAGAAGATTGTCTTGAAATTTCCAATGCGTCACTTCTTTCTGTTGAAGTCTCATTTTAATGTTGTTTCTTAACTGATATTTGTCTCTTCTCTCTCCTGTCCTCCAGACTCCAGAAAAGAAACAGCCAGATTCTTCACGGGGGAGGAAGAGGAAAGCGGAGAATCAGAGTGAAAGCAGTCAAGGTAATAAACTATTTTTACTTTTGTTCAACACATTTGAACGTGGGTACATATTCCTCGGTGGGACTTGGAGCCCTGCTTGCATATGGTATCAAACATTTCTGCTCTGCATTCAAGCTGATCTGCTAATTACGGTAGACTGGATCTAGTAGGAGCAATGCCAAAGGCCTCATTGCTGCCCCGGATTTCTCTGTCTCCAATTTGTAAGATGGACACCATTTATCTGCTTTAACCCTTTCGCTGCCAAGGACGTATGGCATACGGACCTACAAAAGTGCTTCCAGCTGGCCAGGTCAGTATGCCATACGGACCTGGCATTTACAGTTCCACTATAAGCTGATGGTCGCTTTAGCGACCATCAGCTTATAGTATAACTGTTCAGCAGACTGTCCCCTTTAAATTAATAGCTGTCATCAGCGGCTCAGAAGC